GAGATTCTGACTCGTTACAATTCAGGGATACACTTTCACTCAAATTGTGGTAAAAACGGGACAGAGAGTCAAGGATAATGACGTGCAGTCCTCCCTTTGCGGCGATTTTAGCGGCGCGCCTGCCAGGGAGATCGCAAGGGACGGAACCCGAGTAATTGCTGGAGCGTGGCGCGCCTTCAATCCGGCTGGCAGCAACATGCTTACACCCGTGGTCGAATAGTCGTATCACTGCGCCTGCCGTGAATGAGTTCAAATATCCTTTCCTACACGCGTAAGGAAGCGTATTTAGCTCCGACTGCAATGTTGCAGAATTTAAATAATTTCTTATTTTTTATCATTCTCGTTATGAAAGGCAAATACAGAATTTCTAAAGAATTTCCGCGGATTTTCTTCTGTCACCGGAAATTTTGACGCAATATTTTCGCTCGTTTCATACCTCATTTTAAAAAAATGAATTTTATTAACCCAATCCGAGATTCTGAATCGTTACAATTCAGGGATACACTTTCATTATAATGGTGGTAAAAACGGGACAGAGAGTCAAGGATAATGACGTGCAGTCCTCCCTTTGCGGCGATTTTAGCGGCGCGCCGCGTCGCGTCGGGACGGACCAAATATTATTAACTCTTAACGGTCGAAATCCGATTTTTTTTGTTTAAATTAAGGATTTAAAAATAACTTAATAAATGGAAATTTCTCCAGTAAGTGGACTGTGAAATTATGTATATCCATCCATTCCTCATCATTTACAAATCTGAGTGTTACGTCAAAAATTTTGAAATCGATGTAGCTCGAACACCAAATGGTGTATTAAGATGGAAGAACATTTTTGCCTATACATATGCGTATAGGGCCCGCGAAAAGGGCCTGAGGGCGCCCTCCCGGGGGTTGGGCCGCAGCGGTCAGGGGGCAGGGCCCCCTAGTATACTAAAACAGGCATGACTCGTTGTTTGAGGGAATAAGGAGGACGCTGAGTGCTTTATGTCAACAATTAAAAATCCATTTTTGACCAAGCGTGACAAAAATTCTCTCCTAAAAATAAATCGTCTCTAAGGTCCTTTTTTCCTTAAGAGTCTCATTACATCTACATGAGATCTCTGCAATATCTGAGGGGGAGTCTTGGAACAATGCTTAAAAAAATGTCATTGCTCTTAAAAGAGCACAAACGCGAATACCCAGAAATGCTAGCAAGTCACTGCTTCCGGCCTTGTAATACTCGGAAATACACAGGGGAAAAATACGTGTGCTCAGGTGCTCTCTGGGAGGAAATCACTTGCTTAGCTTTTAATTCGGAGAATTTTTGCTACTTTCTGCTCTACTTCTTTAGAGAGACGAGCATGCGACGCGATCTTATACCCAAAAATGGAGTGAGATAAAACTGTTCTTCTTGAATGGAATGAGCTTTGTGACGTAACGGATCAATCGTTATATGGAAGGACGGTCTCATTTTACCCTCTAAGTAAGTATGACTTATTGCTGTCTCTCGCTCTCTTCGATGTGTCAATGAAGAGTGCGGAGTGAGCAAATAAATTTCTCTAAATAATTTCATATGCAACTAACAAAATCCTCAGATACCCATCGATTATCAATACTATAAGCACCGAGACCTCCTAAATTTACATATCTGCTAACGCTAAGGTTCAGCGTTCTTCTGGGCCGATTTTTATGATTTTTACGGTTATCGTTAGGCAATTGCCTCTAGACGAGCCCGCTTTATTGAAATTTTGAAAATATGACCGACCCAGGATTTTTTATATTACGTGGTGAAGTTGCGAATTCTCCCATTTAAACGATGTAAAGTTTTATTTTTTGTCAAAGTTCGTTTGAGCGTTCTGTTAGGCCTACTGCCATGATATTTGCGGTCATTGACAGGTGATTGTCTCCAGATGAGCCCGTTCTTATCAGATTTTGGAAATAGTACCCAGGTTTTTCTTTTTTACATAAGAGTAGATCAGGGAGCTTAGAAAGAGGGGCAACATTTGAAATTAAACGGGAAATTGAAGAGAGCGAGAAATGGTGAATCTTGTTCTGTTAGTAACTGGTAAAGTAAGTGAATTGAAGGTATGCTCCTTTACTTATCCAGAAGCAATAAAACGCTCCGTTCCGTTTCGTTTAAGTCTTGGCTTGAAGTTTGAAATAAATGACGATTTTTTTCATACGATTCTTATTGGTCCAATCGCTCCTGGCCATAGGATGATTGGATAAATAAGAGTCGGTATGAAAATCTTTGCATTTTTTTGGTCGTTCTTTTGTCAAAGGGGGCTTAAAAGAGCAGGAAGCGCCCTCTGGAGGTTGGGTCTCGTAGCGGCCAGGAGGCATACCCCCTAGTTCTGTATAAATTTCAAACAATACAAAGTTGGTGTATTACTCCCCGGAAAAATTGAATAGGAGCAGAAATTTTGAAACATGCGATGATGATAATACGACGGTGAAACCAATATACCAAAAATATCGGACTAACTTACTTGAACTGTCTTCTCTGTGCGAAAAAACTCTGTGAAAACTTTAAGGAATGATATTGATTTGTTCTCCCTCAATAAAATAAAATAAGAGCAAAGTCTTTTGACACTGCAAACGAATTTTCTCTCCGGGTCAATGATTACATAGTGCTACAGAGAGAATTATTTTCTCTCCGGAGAAATTAGTTAGTGTTCCGGGGAAAAATATTTTTTGCTAGGGAGAGAATTTTTTTCTCTCCGAGGAAGTTAGTTATAGTGCTCCGGAGAAAAATATTGTCTCCTCGGAACGATGAGTTATTGCTGGGAAGAGAATATACTTTTCTCCAGAACACCAACTAATTTCTCCGGAGCATAGAAAAACATTCTCTCCGTAGCGCTTAATCAGTTTTTTTCATAGAGGCGGAAGTCCAAGATGTGAGATAAACGAAAGCCAGGGCTCATGATTTTCTGGACTAACGCCCGTCGAACAGGAGCCGATTAAATTAATTTTGATTGAGGAATTAGTGTGTGGTGGTTTTTTAGAACAATTCGGCACTATTGCTACGGCCCATAGCCATGAAATTGAAGGAGTTTTTAGAACGCGCTATAACTTGCGGCCTTACAAACCCGTTTGTCAAACTTATTAATGGCACTGCCTGGTCACTGCTTATGAGTAGTGACGAGGCGTGAATAATCAATTATCGATATTCCCTCATTCGAATGTGTGGTAAAGAATCGATTGTTAAGGTATTCGTTCTGAACATCCGTTTTACCGATACTTTTCCATGGGCTTAAACGGCAGATCAATCAATATATCGCAAAGCTCCCCACACTCATGATTATGAGCGTTAATATCAAATCCCGGAGGACTCGAATCCCAAACTCGACAAAGTGAAGTGTGAAGACATTTTGAGAGAATCCGGTTACTCGCGACTTGATAGCCGGCAGTTTTATTTAATCGCGCTGCGCCGTAGCCGTATACATACTTTCACATCGAGCAACTATTTTAACTCCTCGGAGATCAAATTGCATAGCTACGAAGTTGAAGGAGTTTTGAATACACGCACATCACAAATCATTGTGGCGTTGCGCAGTTACTGCGTGGTATTGCCTCCTGGAGGTGTGCTTTTGCGTGCCGACGAGTTTATAAAATGACCTGTGGCGAGGTAGGAATGATCGATTATCGATATTTCCACATTTGAAGCTATGGTAAGGAATCTATTATTATAAAGTGTTCGTTGCAAACAACCTCTTTATTGATCCTTTTCCGTAGATTTAAAAGACAAATCAACCCATAACTCACAAAACATGCCACGCCACAGATAATGACGTGAATTTTTCACAACTCAACGTTGACTCGGTGCTAGTCCGATCGCTCTGTAATTGTAATTATTACTTGAAAACTTTTGATTTTTCTTCCGTGTTAGCAGACAATCTATCTGAATCACTAAATACAAAAAGGGCACATGTCCAGAAAACCAAATTGTTCAGGAGACACAAAAAACTGTTTATTTCGTGGTAGATATTTTTTTAAACATAACGACTTTCCGAAAAATATCTACCACGAAATAAACAGTTTTTTGTGTCTCCTGAACAATTTGGTTTTCTGGACATGTGCCCTTTCCGAAGTTAGTGATTCATTTATACTATAAGCTCCGAGACCTCCTTTTGCATATCTGGTAACGCTTTGAAAATCTTTTCATTTTCTTTTGGTCTTTCTTTTGTCGAAGCGGGCCTAAGAGAGTGCGGAACTCCCTCCGGGGGTGTGGCCGCGTTGCGGCCAAGAGGCATAGCCCCCTAGTTATCTTCTAATTTCTTAGAGAAATTATTTCATGAAGTATGCTCGTGTATTTGTAAACTTTGAAAGAATCCCATCCCTCATATATATCTTTCTCAGAAGTATTTCTCGCGGTAAATAAGATAAATTTTGAATGCTTGTACGGTTTTCTGCCTTACGAGCGCAATGAAGACTTTGCAGGTGTCTGAAATTTTGTAAATTTTACGTTTAAAAATGGTACTTTCAATTTAAAGATAGCATGTACAAAATTTAAGACTACTGCAAATTTCCCATCGCCTCTGTAAGGCAAAATGCCGAGCGAGCATTCATTAGGACGTCTCAAGTGCTCTGCAATGCTCAGGATGAATGGCGTATGAACATCCGAGAGTTGCCAAATTCCCCTCAATAAAATAAAAGTAAAGACCCACTCTACTAAAACTCTTAGCTTTGAACTCCCCTTCCTCACTCCTGCCCATGGATCGTCTTATTATTACTCCCCTTCCTCACCCCGTCCATCGAGCGTCTTAAAAATGATTTTATTAGAGTAAAGATGCTTCATTTTCGAGGAAAATTATGAATATTTTTCCTTGACATTTTTCAGGAACCATAAGTGAAATTGTGAAGAAGATTATCTGAAAAGTTGGAGAAAAATCTGCATAAGTTTGGGAGGATACCCGTGTTTGATCAATTGAAATTTGGCAAGGGCTAAGAGTTGACACGGCGCGGCGTTTTTCCTTGGCTCGGGAGTAGTGTGCTTGAATATGATGGAAGGTGGAGATACTAACCATTGCAGTGTGTCTCGTCGGAGAAGTCGCCGCAGTCGTCCTGGCCGTCGCAGAGCCACTGGCGGAGGACGCACTTCTCGGTGTTGGGGCAGCGGAGCCAGCCGCCTTGGGGGTCGCACTCGATGCCGTGGCAGTCCCGCTCGTCCTCGCCGCGGTCGCAGTCCGGCTCGGCGTCGCAGCGCCACGCCGAGGGGATGCAGGCGCACGACTCCCGGCACATGAACTCCCCCTTCCGGCAGAGCCCCCCGCACGGGTGACCCGCCACCACGCGGTACCCCCCGCCCCCGCCACCGCCTCCTCCTGAACCCCGCTCTCGCCACCGCGCCTCTTCCAAGCCGGGCAACGTGTCCATCCCTGAAAACACAAATCTTCAATGGACAACTAAACAAAGTATTCTCATACATCGCACCTAACCATTTCACGTCCATCACGATTCTTCAACTAAAAATTACTGAAACCGGCTCCTAACTCAAATATAATGTTTTTATTTTACATGGAAAAAATCCATTGCCGATTATCATTTAAATTCTTAAAAAATATGTCCGAAAAGTCTCAAATGTATATTTTTCAATAGTGGAAAGCAGTTAACCACGGGGATGCTTGAATTAGCATTTTTGTATTGTAAAATCTACATTGAAACATGTGGTATACTTTTTTTTTTAAAATACAAGATTATTAACAGCGATATCATTTTTTTTCCGTGTACTTTGGTTACGGAAATTTGAATTGCCCGGTCACAAGAAACACAATACTCTACGTGAGTCGCGAATAGTATACATTCCATATCAACTCGCCGAGTGCACCGCAATAACGCAATGCGAGAAGTATTCATGCCGTCTTGTAGGCGCTAATATGCGTTTAACGCCGGCCGCACCATACTTGGCGCGATTATTCGAACTCGCGTTAGAATAATCGCGGCATCCAACACAGCCCTTAAAAGGCCCATGTTGTCTCTCAACGCCGGATGGGCATTTCAACGTTGCCTCGTTTCTCCCTATAAAATATTTTTTCCAAGTAAAGTTCGAAAAGTTCTCTGGGTTAGATTGTATGGACCATTAAACAAGGTACGAATTTGCACTCTCATACATGATTCTTCACCCCAGTTTTTCGCACAACGAAAACTACTAAAATTAACTTCTAGCTGAGATCATAGAGTACATAGAGTCGTAATGTAAGTGGGAAAGCTGGCACCACTTTTAAGCATTTTCCATGTCCCGAATTCCGAGACTCCTGTGTGACGCCGGGTCACTTTATCGATACATAATCGATTGTTTGCGATACACGGGTACCCGGCCATCCGATGACAACAACAACAACAACAA